TCGCACCAAGTATGTGGCAGATGCATTTTCCAGATTGAAGGTCAACGCGTTGAGAGTTGCACTACGGTCCGCCCTGAATACGATGCACAATAATATTATTCCCGTTAAAGCGAACCTTCATTATATATGGTGAAAAGACCCGGTAATATATATATTTCGGAAATTAGGATTCCAAGTCCGACGGGGTCAAGTGCGACAAAGTAAGTGACAAAGTAATATTGCGATCTCCCGATATTAGGTCATATCTAGCATGCTCTTGTCGAGATAATGATTTGGGTGTCATGAGCTCCAGTTTCATCATATCGTATCCCATCTGGTTAAATAATTCACATCAACATATACTACAACTAACTGGAAATACTTCCTCACTATCCTTGATAAGTATTTAAAATTTGCAAGACATAAGAGGGCAAATTTTAAAGTTAATCAAAGCTTTTTCAAAAACGAAAATAGTATACAGCGACAACGTAGCAGCTTTAAGTGAAAAGACAATAAATTCTATTTTAAAAAAAAGGTAACGCTCCAACTATATATATATATACAGCACTTTTTTAAAATAGGCAGGTGCTTGTCAAAGCAAAGAGGGATCAAGATACTGTTGAAATCATTCCACAGCGCACAAAGATAGTAGTAGAACAAATACAAAAAAGAATCTACAAAGCGTAACAATTGCAGTTGGATAGGAAAAACCCGTCTGGGCAGAATAGCGTATTAGACGGCCGGTAAAGAATAATAAAAGGCTAAGAAATAAGTTCGATAAGTTCGGTCGACCTCAATTTCATTTTCAAAAGCAGCGAACATAAGCTACGCAAAAATCAAAATGAAATACATATAAGGATTAAAAAATAACAAATAACAAACTCCAAATAGGGAATCGAACGTAATACCTAACTTCATAAAAAACTTCAGAAAGCATTTGTCCATACTGACAAGTGATAAAAAAAACCCAACCTGACATAAATAGAGCATTGACTAAACACACACATTTTTACCTCACTAAAATACTTAATTTACTTATAATACACAAACACGACCTATTACAACAACAAACAAAACAAATGATGACAACAGAAGACACCAAAAGGTTTTCTTAAAAAAAGAGAAGCATAGAAAACAAAATAACAACAAGTAAGAGGTTCTAGTCGGGAGCTCCCGACTAGGGGATACCCTGAACCCTCTTCTTCCAACATTAAATGCATATATATTCTATTTTAGAAGCTATATGTCAAGTTTGGTGACTCTAGCTCTTATTATTTATCAAAATTGCCCAAAACACAGGATATCGATATCGATTTTATCGATTGCTTGGAAACGGAGTAAGTTATCGATTTTCGCAAAAAAATCGATCTGCGCGGGAACTAGGAGCACCTACATCTAAAATTTCAAGTCTCTAGCTCTTATTGGTTCTGAGATCATACATACAGACGGACGGACGGACGGACAGACAGACGGACATGGCTAGATCGACTCGGCTATTGATGCTGATCAAGAATATATAGACTTTATGGGGTCGGAGATGCTTCCTTCTGTCTGTTACATACATTTGGATTTTGCACAAATACAATATAGCCTTATACCCATTTTAAATGGGTTCAGGGAATAATAAAATTCAAGAAAAAACAAGAAACGAAACACGACAAGCTACGAGATCAACGGACCCTTACATTAGCGGACAACAACACCAAGAAAGAGTGGTTCATAAGCAAAACGAAAATAGAATTCCCGCTCAACATAGAAGCATTATTCGCACAAGATCCAAAGTTCGCCCTCCTCGATACATCCGAGGATATATGGACTTCCGAAGATACACAAGGAAGGAAAACTACTCAGGCCAATATGTTTATCCATCGGATCTCCTTCTGACGGGCTGTGCAAATATATATATAATAAAAAAATCTGACAAAGGACTCAAAGTACAACATAAAGAACGCGGTAGATTTTAAAGACAGAGTTAACCATTCCTACATTAGAAATTACGAAACATTGTTACCTTTTGACGTAATATCCTTGTTTCCTACCATACCAATGGAATTAGCCAAGTGCCAAGTGTGTCAAGACACAACAATACAAAAATGAACCAAGTTAGAAGAAGTATACACAGAAGTATACAAGTATATATGGTCATAGTTAAATAATGTATACAGGAACACAGATATTTGGAATACGAAGACATGATATACACACAACTTAAAGGAATGCCAATGGTATCACCGGCCTTCCCATTAATCGCAGACATAGTAATAAAGGAATAGTTAGACAGCATTACGGATAAATTGACAATAAAACCAAGATTTTTGACCAAATATGTATAAGGGACAAAACAGAAACATATAAAATTCTGAAAGAATTGAATTCGTTCCACAGTCATATTGAATTCACAATTGTAGAGATCCTTGCGTTCATACATACAACAAATGGACATACAGACTTTGTTAGATCGACTCGGCGGTTAATGCTGATCAAGAATATATTATATACTTTATGGGGTCGGAGATGCTTTCTTCTGCCTGTTACATACATTTGCATAAAACATTATACCCTTCTTACCTATTTTTAATCAGTTCAGGGTATAAATAAATATATCTACAACATAATAAGAAACAAGAAGAGCATGCAATTTTTGAACTAAGAATAGAGTTCATTTTCATTTTCAAGTCAAGTCCAATAAAGTATATTCTTATTGTGGGATACAACCCTCCATAAAGTCAACAACAATAATAAAATTCGTGAATTTTACATTTAATGTAACAAAATTTTACGTGTCATGAAAACAATATAACCACAATTTCAAATCCAAATCAACAATACCAGAGAGGAACTTTATATCGAAACTTTGAGATTATCAGCCAACATGAGTCAGAAAGGAGTGTTACTTATTACGTACTTTTCACTAATAGCACTAGTAATAAAAATAGCAATCAAAAAATTATTCTTTACACCTTCAATACGCACATCGGTAGTATCGTCGCCAGTCAGTTCTTATCAAGAGGGGATGAATTACCACATTAGCAACCACTAGAGTGTTCGGAGTTCGCCACAAGCATCGACAAAGCTGCATCTTGAATATCCGAAGTATAATACACACTGTGAGCGGTGCTTCTATTTATAGCTTCCCTAAGTACAGAACAAATCTGATCTTACACTCAAGCCGAGTAATTTGATTGAACACCCGCATCTCGACTAAAAAGTCCCAGTCAAGGGAACTTAGAATGACATTAAATATTGGAACGTTTACAACCGTTTACCGGGACCACGACAAGTTATCTGACGCCTTTACATATACAAACTTGAACAGTGAATATTTTTAAGCACTGTCGCTTCAAATACGCAATCATTACGCATTTCCGCTTCTACGGAAATGTTAATAAACTGTAAACATTTAAATAAATTGTTATAAATTCTTTGCTATCCCAAATAATGAGCTTGAGTTAAAAAAGTGGGCACAGCTTTTAGATGTGTAGCCTTGATTTTTTGTATTTCTACAAATTCGTAGGCCATATTTACCCAAAAGTTGGTATGGAAGGAATTTAGTTCTTAACGGCAACTTGGTGTCGGGCTCTTTTTATCCAATTATAGGTATGTTTGCTGTATACAAACAAACTCTTGCATCGCATGATCTGCTAATGATTCACCTTCATTTGCGCTTCAACTATCGTTCCATAAAATACCCACTTTAAAGAGCTAAATTTATGCGGTCACTTAAAAACGAAATATGCATCTTATGAAAAGAGTAGCGTTGACAACGAACATCTTATATTACGAGGTCACCTCGAGAAGTATAAAATTCATACAAAAGATTATTAGAGAGCATAACAAATGAAAACTTAACAAGTAAGAGGTTCTAGTCGGGAGCTCCCGACTAGGGGATACCCTGAACCCTCTTATTCCAACACCAAATAAATTAACAAAAAAAAATTCCCTTGGCAGGGTTCGAATTTGCAACTGACCGCATTACATACTGTCGACTCTACTCAACAGCCACACCAGCAAAAAAAAAAAATAATAATACTCTCCCCGGTAGGGCTCGAACTCGCGACAGACCGCACCACTTACTATGCCTTTACTCAGCAGCCACACCAACAATTAAGTACTTATGATAAAAAAGGAACTAAAATAACATTACAGAAAAAAGATGCAATTACCATGCTATTAGAATGCGAAGCAGACGCGCATGAATGTGTGTGTGTACATGTATACAGAAATTCTTAATGCTGCTGCCCCATTCAATTGCGCAGTTGCATATAACTTTGGTTTTTCTTAACCGATCTTTATGAAATTTTCTACAGTATATCTTATTGTACCATAAAATATTTGTGTATTCTGAAAAAATCAATTGCATTCAAATTGTGGTTTAAATTGGTTTGCAATAAAAGTTGGGTTATTAACTTGCTTTATATCTCTAGGGTGGTAGCGGGGAGGTGGCGATAGGTATGAAAAAAAACAGGATGTCGATATCGATTGCTTGGAAACGGAGTAAGTTATCGGTTATCGGAAACAAACTCGACCTGCGCAGGCACTAGGAGCACCTACATCTAAAATTTCAAGTCTCTAGCTCTTATAGGTTCTGAGATTCTTTGGCTCATACATACGGACAGACGGACAGACAGACAGACGGGCATGGCTAGATCGACTCGGCTATTGATGCTGATCAGGAATATATATACTTTATGGGGTCGGAGATGCTTCCTTCTGACTGTTACATACATTTGGATTTTGCACAAATACAATATACCCTTATATCCATTTTTAATGGGTTCAGGTTATAAAAATTGCATTAATTATAAATTAAAGGGTTTTAATTTAATTTAAATGTGACAAAAGTCACCTAATTTAATGTACATTAGCAATTTATTAAATAAAAATCCAATACATTTAACAAGGAAACACAACAGAAAGGTGTGGTTTATTTTCGTATTCATATTTTATTTAATTTAAAAATGAATGGAACTTCTATTTAACCTGTTATACGAGTGTAAATTGAATGAAAATGGCTTACATACCTTTTCTCCACTATCAGAAGGCAAGTAGAATGTTAGTACCGTTAAAAATGAGATACCCATGCATGGTATTATAATGTTAACAGTGTAAAAAAGAGTCTTTCTTCGCATGGTTATGTTAAACGTTATATCCAAATAGGGCTCATCACAGCAGGTGTAAAACTTTTCATTCCTACAAAAATAAATTATTAAAATGTAGCATGAGAACAAAATCAAGTAAATAAGTAGAAGTACGCGTCATTGCGTAATAAATAGACAGAAATTGTCTTTAGGATCAAAAGCGTTTTTTCAAAATACTTGATGCGAGATAATGTAGAAATACCGTCTAAAACTTGTCCACTTAACGTCAGTTTTATTATTAATTTTGATTGAAGTCAAGTGAGTTTATCGTAGCTAAAAAATTCGACTTAGCATAATCTTAAAGATATCAAAGTCTGAGGAGGAGAGCGTAAACATGCATATTTATTTGCATTAGCGTATTAGTGCGCGTGCAGCTATGTTCTTCTCGTACATAGCGCTCCCGGGACTTGCCCGTGGGATGCATGGTCACCGCTTATGCGGTAAGTCGGCATTAGTTGCTGATAATATTAAGTACATTTGATCGAGTCACTGACCTACACCTATGTTTTTAATTGCTTATTTATACCCATTGTTGTTAATGGCAATATTTTAGAATGTATCAAAATGTTACAATGCGCATGCTACACTACAATACCGCTGAAAAAAATTTCAACACCACACCTGCCTATTTAAAGCTACTTCTGCCGTTGCCCAAAAATAATAAGAAAACTTCAGAACTTTTTCTATTAGAAACAACAACAGCCCAGAATCAAAACAATGAAAAAAACAAGCAACAAATTCAGACCTTACTATCTTTATTTTATGAAAGCATTGAATAATGCAGTTTTATTTGGTTTGATTATTTGCATTTAACTAAGAATATTGTATACATTTACAATCGTATGTAGGTAGGGGTGCCTTCGGGGTGCCTTCGGAGGCGCCTCTCACTGATGGATTCAGCCAGGACCCTGGCGGCCACGTTCAAGTAATGCAGCAGCTTGTCGGCGTATCGGCTGCTAAAGAAGTTTAACTGATCTCTTACATTCGTTAGGCGGACATCGCGTTCCATAGCATGGCTGGTAAAGCACCATGGCAGGCCGCCGGCATTGCATGTTGTCTTGGAATTGGAATAGCGTATGTTCAGATTGGCGTTACTATCATTTTAATTAGCAGCGTCTTCGTGTGGAGCTTACTGTGCGGTTTTTTGAGCCAATCGTGTTTTTGGAGTCTTTTTATGAATTTTGCTTTTGTTGCTATGATGTGAGACCCCTCCACGAGCCTTCGGTCCAAGTGGCCACCCAAGTCACCCAAGTAAATGAGCTGGTTTGCTCAATGGATCCTCCATCGAAACGTAGTCCCTAGTAGCAGCATGAAACTGAGGCAAACGGACTTGGGACAGTTTATGGCGATATTCCAGTTAGCTGTCAAAATTTCGACCTGCAGCAGCCAGTCCTGACACATGCCGCAGGGACTAGAGCTTTGATTTTATAGAGAAGGCCATCATGCCAGTCCTTGTGAAACCCCAACGCATTATTCCTTTTTTTGATATACATGTATATGGTTGATTACTGGGTGAAACTGGTCGGGGCACCCAAAGTCAAAGTCTAAAAGTCGACTTATTAGGAGTCGCTCATAGACTTTGGAAAGCGTCGCCAGCAGTAAGATTCAAGCTGAGTTAACGGCTTACCTAGTTTGGCGATCATAATAATTTTCAGACATTTCCACTGCTTCGAAAAATGACCAAGCCTGAGCATTGAGTTGAAAATTATCGCGAGAGCCATAATGCCTTTGCGAAGGAGTGCCTTGGCTCTATGCTGTCAATTTCGTCGCATCCAAGAGGTGTATCAAGTGATTCAGTCACTTTACTGCGCTGTGCAACATCAACGAAGTGGAAGGGCGTGAATGTCTCCTTCAGGGGGTCAGCAACGCATTGGCGCTCCTCGCCAGGTCGGCGCTAAATGCCAGAATGAGCTATATTCGGGAAGTTAAAAATGATGTGCCTTTTAGTGCTTCTGCCGTTATGTTCAGATGTTTCTAAAAAGCAGTCGTCGGAGCTGGTTGGACGCGCTGACCATTTCCGCCTGGACAGAGGAATCCCCGTTCCGGATGTACAGCCTCCTCAGATGCCGTTTGTTGGCAAGGAGAGTTCCGGCTTCTGGGCTTAGCGGGGAGCTTTAAAGGGTGTGAGGGCGGGGTGGAATTTGCGGGCAGCTTCTGCTATTTTCGCTGTGAGGTTGTCGACATGGCTCTCCAGTTCACTTACCGTATTTATTGCGATGTTGAGCTCAAAGGTGTCCTCGGGGAAGGTCCGGTAGACGCGCAAGTTACAGCACGGACGGAGCACTTTGCTGATGCCAACGACCCACTTAGGTGTTTCCTCTAGCTCAAAGAGGAGGCAGAAGGCTTCTCATTCGCAACTGTTTCTGTCTAATTCGCTTGTAGAGGTCGAAGTCGACTGCATTTGGTGTTGCGGTAGCTCTATATAGAGTGCACCTTGCCTCCCGTGGATATTACTTCAGTTTTAATGTCCGGTAGCTTCCCCACCAGCGGTGTTTGGCGTTCCAGTCACCCCCTGCTAAGAAATTCGAAGCGAGCTGGTCGAAGAGGGCTTGAAAGTGTGTCTTAGTCACTCTCCGGAAGGCAGTATACTGACACGAGGTTAAAGTCGCCTCTCTCGGATCCGAGTCGGATAACAGCGGCTTGCATATGTCAATGGCAGGACGACTCTAACAAATGGTGTGACAAGGATGACTTGGTCAGTAGTGGTACATCTCCATGTTGGCTGCTGTCTGAGTAGTTGGCGATGTGGAAAATACGGCCTGGCACTCTGAAGAGGATACAGAAGCAGAAGTTAGTCTGCGTGAGAAGAAATACATCGATGTGGTGAAGCTCGATGCGACATAAGGAGCGAGTTTTGTGCTAGGTGGGCGGTCTACCGCACAAGACGCTGGCAAAGGATTGCTGACCGGTAACGAAGCTGTGAGCAGGAAGCGCTGGTTGGGGTCTCGATCCCTGGACCGGCTTGACTAAGCCATTTTCCAAGTTCTGGTTTCTCTGCTGGAAAGCTGATTCAGTCGCCAGAGTTGAGCGCTTGTCCAGCTTCTTACAGAACGTAGCGAAGATGTAGATGCCTAGCACAGTTGTTCTGGGTGGGTTGCAGGTGGGTGGCATGCTAATGGTTTGCCGTTTCTTGCCTGCTAGCCCTTGCGAATGCTGCATGCGAGGGGGATGGTCTAACATCATCTTTACCTACACCATTAGTGACATTGGTGTTGGCAGTAAGCTCTTCCTCCATATCCATGTGGCTCTCCTCTTTGTCACAGAGAACCGCGAACCAGTTTTAGCTGTCTTCTTGGCATCGGTGGTGCTAGCCTTCTTTTGAGATATACTTGAAAAGAGAGCACCACCACCTCTATCTTAGCTACCTTCATTTTGAACGGTTCCTTTCGATACCTGGCTGCGGGCTTGGCGTGTGTTTGCTCAAAAGGGCATGGACGTCCGGTCTTTTACCAGCGCCAGGACCAGGGAGCTGAGGCCACGTGCAAGGGACGACATAGCCGTAGTCGTTCCTAGGAAGCAATCAGTTGTGGTGATGCATGACGTGGTGGGCTGCATAGTGCCCCCGCACAGCATAGCGTATGACCAAATTCCGGTGTGTTATAAATTGTAGACGTAAGATAAGTATTAATTTTTAAATAATGTAATAAAAAATGAACTTTGCCTTTAATTACAAAAATCACCAGTACTTATGTAAAAAGTGACTTAGGTGAACAGGACGGGAAACTGTGACTGAGTTGTGTCAGTACTAGTCTTGCCAGAACTGGCTGTGGTCCTATTGGCTAGTGCTATGCAAGTGTAAGTGATACTTGGTGAATGCTCTCTCACGAAAGGTCTGATGACTCACACACGCACACACGCTACGGCTGAATATGGGGCATCAGCTCAGCACAGTTGAGCTTAGCTAAAGCTTGGTCCCTTAGGCTGGCATGCGGCAGCACTTTTGTAAAATAAACAAGAATTTTGTATTTTAAATGTTTAAGTTTGGCTCTTTATGGCTGCCAGAGGCAGAAATTTCAATTTGTCGCGCACTACAGGTGCGATTTGTTTGTTAAGCTCTGGGGTGGACTTAGCTAGTGTCACGACACTGTAAGTTTTCTCTTTTTGCCTGTGATGCACTAAACATAAACACTCACGGGAATGTACAAACACTCGACCGATATCCGCGGAAGTAGCTACAATTTGGCCATGGCAATCAGCCACCTCGTGCAGTTGAAGTACGGAACCATTGTGAGCGACAGGACAAACAAGACGGCGACAGAAATTGATTATTTCTTTACATTGCTTGCTTATTATAGGGAACTCAATTCTAGTTCTACTTTAATATTAAATACTTACAATATGTCTGTAAGAGGGCTCCCTGTGACTTGGTCAGTGAGAATATTCATTAAATCAGATTTATCGATTATTGTTGGGCTTATAACAATTATTTTTTCTAATGTTAAAGTAAGCAAAAGGTTCCCTAATCTGCAATCATCATTCTATTGCGTTTGCTTAGGGCTTCAAAAAGCTGGTCTGTTTCGGCCTGGTTACCTTTTGAGGATTTGAGAATTTTGTTTACAATGTCGGCCAGTTGCTTAATCTTTTCTTGTACTTTGGAATTTAGGAAAATTTGCTATTGCTCGCAGTGACCAGATGCATCTGCGTCACCTTCATTATCTTAAAGTCGTGAGGTTTGTAGTGTGACGTAAATGACGGAACCTGTTGCATAGTAAAATATCCCTTTCCGTGATGGGTTAGTAGTCCTCGTGCGTTTAATCAGTCACCCATGCCGTTGTCATGGTCATGATTGAAAGTATGATTAATAAAAACAAAATGAAAAAATGTTTCTTTGTCTCTTTTTAACCAGTGAGTATATTTAGCTGGTATACTCGATAGGGGCCTGCAGAATAAGGTCGACCGTGACAATTATACCCCTTTAAGGCTTTAAACACCTGGCTTTTTCCAGCAGGGTGCCGTTTAAGCGAGCTTATTGTCGCAATACACCTGCTTCGCCAACGGGAGTATTAATTAAAACCGGCAGAGGTTTTGTCGTGTCCCTTATAGTGCGAGATG